TGAGCTTTAAAATAAACAAATATTTTTTTGTCTTTATTATATTTTGCTCACATGTCAAAAGTAACTTGTCACTCATCAAGATTACTTAGTGTGAAAACATAGTCATTTAACTTGATTCTGATGTTATACTTGAGAGTTTTTTTATATAAATTTTCACACATATAAATTGTTGAGTGCCTGAAAGTGATTAGGAATAGTCTGGGAACTGAGTCCCATCACCGTTAAATTTCTGGTTTCGCGCTACTCATAATGAATGAAAATTTTAACATTGCAACTTAAAGTATCTGCGGCGGTCTCAAATGGGGTTAATATACTACATTGCAATAGAAAAATAGATTGTTCGAATTTTGGAGTTTACAATGAATTCAAAATCCGAAAATTCTAACATATACCGATAGTTTTTATAAATATTCCATTTCATTCCAACGCATCATCATCGCTCAGCTGAAGAAAAGTACGAATGATAATAATCAATTATATTAAGGATATAGTGGGTGTGGGTGTGGGTGTTCGTCTTTTGTTCACCCACACCCACACCCACTCACACCCACCCACACCCACACCCCCACCCACCCACACCCACACCCCACACCCCACACCCACACGCACACGCACACCCCAAAAACGGTAGTAAATACAATACTGATGCAAAACATATTAAATAATCATGGAAAAATAGATAATAATAAAAACAAAAGAATATGTTACAAACACTAGAAAAGATAAATCAATCTACGGAGACAGATAATTAATGACATAATGGTATAAGACACTTTTGACTGAGGTTAAGAGATAATATTACAATCGATGTTTCAAGTGAAAAAAATAATTGTGATTATGATGTTATCAAAAGAATATTAAACGATCCGGTCATTGATAAATCTGTCGAGGATCTTCGTAATGATAGAGCCCAAATAATAAACAATCATTCTCAACAGTTTTCGAAAATACTAAAAGTACAGCAATCAATTGAATCTCATTATCTTCAACAGAGCAATATAGATTTGTGTGAAGATATGAAATACACGAACATGAAGTTAAAAAACAATAGTGAAATGGCGGATGTGTAGAGAAAAGAAAAAAATGAAGCTGAAACGACTTTGTTGTAATTGTTCTTTGAGAAAAGAAACTTTTGAATGACAGATTTGAAGTTTGATCTGAGTAAGGAAGAACTGACAAAACTATAGTTGAAACAACGAAGCTACGCTTAGATCGGCAACTTGCAGAATAAACTTATGAGTATTTGAATTATCAAATAATTAGATTCCGTGTCAATATTATATTAAATTATTTTTTGATGATTGAAATCGAGTAGATCGTGGAGTGTAATCTCTCTGTAGATAATTATAACGAGTTGAATATGACAAAACAGTGTCTGACAGTTATGAATAATACTTAGTCAATATAAAAATTACTCACCACAAGTCAAACAAAAGCGAAAAAACCAGCGAATGTGTCTAGTGTTTCGAATCGACAGAACGCAAGAAACATGTTGAAGGCGTGGATGAATGTATGCTTATTCATCGCCAGAAGACATACGAAACCAAACATTATATTTCGATTCAACAAATAGTGAGTATGCATTTTGTCATGTGAAAGGATAGAAAACATTTTTCAACTAAGTTATTGTGCACAACAAAGATAAATAACTCCCTGAAGATTAAATCAGAACAATACACTTTAAATATTCATTTAATCATCATAATTTCATAGTTACGTTTTGTACTCTTGCAGTCAAGAATAGAGATGATTACGATTTCATAGTAAGAGAGGATTTAAAAAAATATCTATGACTTTTCTACAAAAACTGTATTGATGTGAGCGAAAACTGCAAAATTAACATTACCATATTCCATTTATTTTGTTTTTTTTTTTACTGAGGATAAAAAAGAAAGGTTTATAATAAAATTATATGAATTAGTATGATGAAAACTATAAAAAAATCTGATTCTAACATAAATATTTTATAACTAACCGTTTTGCAATACAGCTAGATATCTTCTATGCAAATCCACGAATCTTATGAGAAATTGAATTGAACGATAGCTTCAATACAAAGATATTGAATATCGCACAATATTTTCTTTTCTTACTTTCTTGAATAAAATCTTAGTTGATCTTTGCCTTAAAATTTTTCTAGACCATTTTAGATTTTCTCAATATCATGAGACCTATAATATTTAGAAAATGTTTCAGATTTTATATTTAAATGAATGCCTAGTCTAGAGTATAAAGTACTCTAAAATGATCATGCTTTGGCAATAAAAGATCTGTGAGAATGTATTTGTAACGTAATTTATCGCCAATCTCGCCTCACATGTGTTATACGATTTTTATGCTCGCTGCATTTTTATTTAACGCTATATAAGGGTACATGCACAGAGAAAGAGCGGTATGTGAAGAAAGAACATAGTTAAATGCCACAAGCGTTGGCAATTCTCCATTTATCGTTATAGACTCCTAGACTTACGTTTTTTTTAGTAGTCTCTAACTACAATCAATTTTCTAATAATATTTTCGTGAAACTTCAGTGGCAGAATACACTTGTTGATTACTTGAGTTTTGTAATCATGAAGCGTAAACATAATAGTCTGAGTTATCATATCATAATTACAGTTAAGATTAAAAGAATTGAACAAATTTCTGTCATGAAACCGAAGATAAGATTTACTTCTCTCAGTCGAAAACTTTAATATATGAATTGGGCATGGCGTTTCTTAGATCGCAATAGTTAATTATGCAATGAAAAACTCAGAGCAATCTAAAATGAAAATATATATACTTCACCAGCGTGTTTAGATCGAGAACTCGACTTGCATTAAATTGTTTGTGTTCATCTATTTTTCTTTTATTGATTACGTAGGAGAACATACACATGTCGACACACACTGTAGTTGCAGGAGATACATTGTGGGCCCTCGGTCACCGCTATGGATTCACGGTCGATCAACTGCTAGCTGCCAATCCTGGAACGAGACCTGAATCATTACAGATTGGACAAATTCTAAATTTACCTGGAATGCAGCATGGAGGTATAGATCGATCATTTTTCTGTTGACTTTTCTAATCTTATCGTTTAATTATCTATTGCCTATCATCCACAAAGTATTTATCATTCCAGGTAGCTCATCGAACAACATGTCAACATACGGTGTTGTAGCCGGTGATACCCTCTGGGGTATTAGCCAACGATATGGATGTACAGTTGATGCATTGATGGCTGCCAATCCTGGAGTAAGACCCGAAGCATTAGCAGTGGGCCAAATCTTGAAACTACCATTCGGAGGTAACTTATTCGACAGAAAAAAAAATAGACATTTCGTCTAGTTAATCTCATAAGAGCCTATTAGTTATTCAAAATTAACATTCAATTATCCATATTGGTGATAGCTATAAAAATAACCCTTTTGGACGTCTACTGGTCAATTCTCACATACATCACAATATTTTTATTCTAAAAACGATGTAGCCAGTAGATTAAGTGCTACCTTGCAATAGTATTTTGATAAACGATCAAAGACGACTAAAATTAAGAGAGTGAGCTATGAAAGTTAATAGATCGAGTCATAAAATGAGGAGGCGAATTATAACCTGTACTCGACTATTTGTGAAAAAAACAATTCCTATCTATCCGTCTATGGTTTCTGTCAAGAGTGAAACATGAATTGATCCGGAAAAAATAATATTAATACATATGGATATTTTGCTAAATGAATACACGTTTTTTTTTTAATTCAAAGCATCCAACAACACATTACCAATAAACACATCGTCATCAACAAACATATGGCCATCTCCTCAAGGACCGTTACTACCAACAGGACGAACACCTAACAATGCTCGGTTAGATACAACGTTGAGTGAAAGAGCTCCATCTCCCATTGGACAGCTGCGCGATTTAATCAATCCTACAGCACAAGCAACGAATATGCCAGCTGATCTCATCGGTGCTGTCATCTATCAAGAGTCTGGAGGCAATATAAATGTTAACACGACAACAAATCCTGGCAATTTTGGTGTTGATTCGGGTGTCATGCAAGTCAATGAGCATACAGGTGCTGAACTCCAACGAAAATATCCACATCGTTTTGCTGGCCTTTTCGGTACAGCAAAGGAAATTATGCTTGGTGCCAGCTATCTTAAGGATATGTATGACACGATTGCAGACCGAGACTGGGGTATAACACTTCGTGCTTATAATTCAGGTCCGAACGGCGTTGATAAAAATAATCTACGTGCAAAACCAGCTGGTACAGGTGATAGCACTTATGTTGATAAGGTTTTGCGTTTTTGGGTTGACATTTCACAAGGCAATCCATTACCACCAGATCACTATGCATCAATCTACGGCAGAGGCTTTTGAGCTATTAGCAACACTTTGTATTTCGTTTGCAAGGAACGTTTCTTATCTTTTCTGACTTTAACCATAACACGATTATCTTTTGAACTAGAGCTTTTATTAACCATTTTGAGTTTATATGTTAATCGAAAACTTATAAGATATCAATAATTCAAGCATTTATGAATATTGTATAAAGTAACTGTGAAGTTGTTGTTAAACTTCTAACAATAAGACAAATAAACCCGAGAGCGATCAATATGAGTTTTATCTTCTTTTTTGTTCATTTTTTATCGTGACCTACTCTTAACACGTTTAAGATAGGAGGCGAACGGAAAATTGGTACTTGAACAAGTACTAATTGTCAAATGATTTTGGAATCAGAGTTTGGATACGAGATCAGATGATGTCATGTAAATACGGACAAAGGTTTTCTTTCACATTCACCCTGATGTCCACGTCCAAACACAGCCACTCAGAGCCGTCCTATGGGTAGGTTCGACTTTGTCCTTGAATGAAGCTAATTGTTTTGAATCGAATGACAGTACGGCCCTGCATGCTACATTTTACTATGAAAATAAAAATTTTGTTCAGCTTCTCTTGATGAACGAGTGTTTGAAAAGGGTGTGTAGGTGTGTATGAGTGCTCGTCCTCTTTTTATCCACAATCCGAGCCATAACCATACCCATAATGACACCTCGACCAGTGATAACTTTCTTTTATGTAGAAAAACTTTTCTTTGTTTTTCGCGTCTTCCTCTTTCTCTATATTTTCTCTCCCACAGTAAAAAAAAAAGAAAAGATACCCGTGTGACAAACTAAATGAGTTTGAAGACGAGTTTTGGTTATGCAAGTTAATTTATCTAAGTTCACTTTCCATTTGACTTGAAGAGTGGATGAGGTTGTACTAATGTTACTATAGATTCTTTCTTGTAGGATTCTAAATTTTTTCTCTTCTTTCGATATTCCTATGTAAACGCTATCGGAGGCAACAAGAAAAGACAAAATTTTAAACACCGATCATCAATAGTTTATGTGCTTTTATGAATACAACACAACATCAAAGGTCCACAATAATCTAGTCTTGCACAATTGATTTTTTTCACTCTCATCTGAAGTTGTTTGAACTTTAGAAAACAGCGAAAATAGAGTTTCAAAATGTTTCATTTAATGCTGCATTGTCATATTTATTTGAAAATGTCCAGGTTTCACTGTTGCCGTAAAATGTCGAAGTTGACGTTGTCGACGAAGTATTTTCTCTTGAAATTTTCTGTTCACACCACTTATCGATGCAAGACAAATAAAAGGAAAGAGAAAAATGACAAAATAACAAAGAAAAAAGAAATACTGTTCAGCTTCGACTCCAATATCTTCTGACAAACCACATAAATGAGCAGTGGCAAGAATACTAATTGGAAAGGTCACGGTCATGTTGAGAGAAGAGAGTGACATAAGCTGAATAGTCATCTTCCGCTGTTTGCGCCATTGTATTGGTAAATGAGAACGATGTTTCTGCCAGAAGACTCGAACAAGAAAAGCAAAACTAAAAAGTGCTTCAAGAAGTGATGGCAAAGCAGTATTGACAATCGAATCCCACATGCCCATAATTGGATCATTTAGATAGCATGGAGACCCATTGCAGAATGGTAATGTATAATCGTAAACATTCTCGCAGGAAAAATAGTAAACGGCATAAATATAATAGATGAAAATATACAATAGTAGAAAAAGTAATGGCAAATAGTGTACCAGTATACGTTTTTTTCTCGTTGAAATCCATCGATCATGAAACACGATAATATGTCGTTCCAGCGCAGTCCAGGCTAAAAATATGACTCCTCCATCGTACAAACCAATATCCACAAACCACCATAAGAGACAGATCGAATCGTTCGATGGAACAACACTCGAATGTACAATGAAATTGATATAAAAGGGAACATCAATTAATTGAAGACTTAAGCCAAGGATGAGCAAAATGATGAGAACATGGTTCTTCACAGTAGAGCGTAGTTTTCGATCAATAAGGACAGAGAAGAGAACGAAGAATGCACAAATGGTAGATGGAACATCAAAGAGAAGAAGAATCCAAAAGCGAGCAGTACGTGGTAGAGAAATTTCTGTATTGGCAAATGAAATGAGTTCTGTATCGTTTGAACTTTGATTGTCAGCCATTACGAAAAGTTTCTAAATAACAGAAGGATAACTTGATAGAGCAGAGGAATCTAAAATGCACATTGAATGCCGCTTAGATTTAAAAAGTAGCTGGTTATGGGATTCTTTCAAAAAAGTGACTCGTGGCATCATCCCAACAAATTCCATAGTCAGCCCACGTAAATGAATTTGTAGAATTAAACACGATACATAAAAGTAAGAACTTAGCTGATCTTTGTCGTTTTTCTATTTTATAGCGTCCAAGTCGAAGCAACGTTTGAAAAAGAATTTTTTTCTAGATACCTTTCTTTTTGATACTATTTGAAAATACGAAACGATATCGTAGTGCAGTTGTCACTATGACATAGAAGACGCTTAGATACATATACGTAAGTACGAGTCATAAGACCAATCAAGTCAATTAGACAGCAAATGTTATGAGTTTGTGGAAGACCGACAATACCTCATTTTTATATAACATACTAAAAACTAAGACATTGTTATAACTAGATGATATTAGTTTCAACCGAATAATAGACAGTTCTAGCGGCATAAACCCAGCATAGTTAATGGCAAACTATATTTCGACAGAGTTACTCGGTCAGTGACAAGTTATCGAGGCGGTGATTACAAATATACTAAATGCTATGGAAATAGTGTACTAAGCATAACTCATGAATGTATCTCGAATTCTTTTGATAAGCAAATTCTTTTACTTAACCACCTCTAAAGCCGACCATGCGTAGATATTGTTTTCGTTCAATGAGAGCAGGTCGCCAGTGCTAAGAACTCTATGCGATGAAGTACACTAGAAAACGATGATCGTTTTTAAACATTTTACAGCCGCCACATTGCTGCACTAGCCCTGTACGTTAAAACGCTATAAAGCATCGTTTACAATTGTTGTAAACGGTCATCATAAACCGCAGCTATATCCTATTCAAGATATGAAATGAACAAAAAATAACCAGATACGGTGATACCATCTCTCGTGACACTTGTTTCACTCTCAACTCTGAAATCCAGCAGTAATATCACAAATCATCTTAGCTATGTCACATACATCATCAACCCTAGATATTAACAAAACATGAGTTCAAACCGTGCGCATCAGTAGAGAATGTACCATCATTAGTATTTTGATAGTTTTATTGTTACTGCCGAACAGACAATGTTCAATATTACCTAAATGTGCAGATATTATACCCCGTGAAAAGTTTTTATGAAGAAAATAGAAACGAACCCACTCATCAAAAGATTGAAAAGCTATCTGGATTGTTATTATCGCATTCTGCCATCGTAGAATGCTTTTTTTTTCAATTTACAATCGCAATTCTTCTGAATAGAACACTTTCTGTACCGTTTCAAACGTTATTGGAAGGATTAGGATAAAATTCTGTCCAAAGAAGATCGATTTCTTTGATATTCTCTAGAGAAATATCGAAAAATGAATTCTCCGAAGCTATGAATACATTACAGACGATCCAATATTATTCTTAGAAAGAAAAGAACATCTTCTCTATCGTTCTTCAAACTACCTAATGATTTCTTATGAATAAAAATATCGATTTTTGAAAAATATGATGCAACCATTATATGGACAGATTGGATGATTAGCTTACCGTCACCGTCAATAATGATGTGTATTGAGCAAATTCACAATTTCAGAATATAATTACTTCATATTCAACACACGTTTATATAGAAGAGAGCAGAAAAACTAGGTGAATGCAGGAAAAAAAGCCTAGAAAGATAAGATGACGATGAACGAGGAAAGGAAAGACCAGCAGGAGATAATAACAATATCATCACAATCATGATGATTTATTTTCTTGCAATATAAAGAAAAAGAGGAAGTCAAATTCTGACAAGCGAAAATATTTTCTAATGATGTCATTCATAGAAGAACAAGCAATAAACAATGACATATTGTGCTCTAAATTTAAGCTATAGTTAAATGACCTTAAAAGTTCCTTTTTCACAAAATATTCTATAAAAAAAAATTTTTTTCTTTTACTTTATTTTGAAGCTTATCTTTTTTTCCTTTTAGTTTTGTAAATAGAATGTCTTAAATGCGAATCTAGATGATGAAAGAGAATTACTACTAAATCCTAAAAAGGAACCAATTTGTTTCTTACAATTCTCTTTACGAATTTAACTGAGAAGATTTTTTTAAGGAAAGTGAATGAGGATTCTTGTGAATGATGAAATGACAAACAGTGAGAATCCATAACCGTACTTTGTTAAAACGTGTTTCTTTGACTATTATTCAACTGAAAAATCTTTCTCGACAAGATTATTTCGATTTGTTAAAATGTTACGTCAATGTCGACTTTTCATAGGATGAACTTTTTAACGAGGAAAAAAAAGGCATTTTCACTTATCACAATCGATAAAAGGTTTTATTTTATTTTTTTTTAACATTCTTTGAATCAACACTTTACATATATAATTAATAAATAATTTGTATCAAAATGAAGAAAAAAATGAGATTAAATGAATATTGATAATTATGTATACTAAAACATTTGACTTGTTTAGCCGGTAGACATTTTTGATGTTGAACAGAAAATCGATGACCATGTTCACATGCTGTATAATTAAATGTTCGACTTTCAAGACATGTATAATGAAATTGACAATTAGGTCGATATTGATCAACATAATTACCATTTGGTTTATCTCGACAAACAGGTTTAAATTCACATAATGGAGAATTATCATAATCACCTTATTATAACAGAAAATAAAAAACAAATAAACAATCTATATAAATAAATAAGAAAGAATAATCTTACAAGGATCGATACATTTTTCTCGTGAACCACAAGTAACAACTTGAAAATTTTCACATCGTTTTGTTTCAACAGA